CTCCTGATCTCTCCCTGTCCCTCTTGACTAGTGTCTCTGACTGCCTCTATGCTATTTCTAACTGGATGGCTGCCCACTTCCTTAAACTAAACTTGACCAAAACTGAAATTCTGGTCTTTCCTCCCTCAAGTGTTGTTACTCCTGTGTCTGTCTTCCTCCAAGTCAATGGTGCTACCATCAGCTCCACCACGCAGGCTCGCTGCCTAGGTGTTCTCTTTGACTCCGACCTCTCCTTCAAGCCTCATGTTCAGTCTATTGCCAAATCCTGTAATTTCCATCTCAAAAACATTGCGCGCATCCGCCCCTACTTAACGCCAGATGCGACTAAGGTGTTGGTCCATTCCATTGTCCTTTCTCGCCTGGACTACTGTAATCCGCTTCTCAGTGGTCTTACGTGCTCCCATATTGCGCCGTTACAGTCCATAATAAATGCGGCAGCGAGGCTCATCTTCCTGTCCGCCCACACCTCCCATGCCTCACCCTTCTGTCAGTCCCTACATTGGCTTCCTATAAAATATAGAGCTCAATTTAAAATTCTGGTTCTTGCTTTCAAATCGCTACATAATGCTCCCACCTATCTATCCTCCCTTATACACAAGTATGTCCCATCTAGGCCCTTACGATCTGCTGAAGACTTACGTCTATCTTCTGTCCGTACTCCCACCTCTGATGCTCGCCTTCAAGATTTCTCGAGGGCTGCACCGTTCCTGTGGAACTCGCTTCCCTCCTCCGTTAGATGCTCACCCAGTCTCCACTCCTTCAAAAAATCGTTAAAAACCCACTTCTTCATAAAAGTGTATCAATTAAATTGTTAATAGCTCCAGACTGATTCCTCTTCCGCAACTGTCACTAGTCTAATACTATCCTTACCTTTTTGTGTAATTTTACCCCACTCCCTTTAGCATGTAAGCTCATTGGGCAGGGCCCTCAACCCCTCTGTTCCTGTGTGTCCAACTTGTCTGGTTACAACTACATGTCTGTTCGTCCACCCATTGTAAAGCGCTGCGGAATTTGATGGCTCTATATAAATAACTTAATCATAATAATAATAATAATAGAGGATGTCATCATAAAAAGTTTATATGTATTTTTCTAATCTATATATCCACAACATGCTCGTTCCACAGACAGGCTGTTGAATGAGTTATCTGTTAAATATTTGGTAATATTTGTCAAAGTTAAATCTATATTACATATACCAACAAATGTTTTATGAGCTATACACAGACCCCAGAACATGGTTCTGGTTATCATGCAAATGTATGTTTTACTTATGGGATTTGGTCCGTACCACCTTGTTCGTTTCCCAAATAGAGGTTGTGTTTTCCCCTTTTTATAACCCCGAACACCGCCCACCCCCTGGATTGTTAACTTCAAAGTAGCAATTAACTCAAGTGCTTTCCCTAGGTGGCCGCCATTTGTATAACTGAATACACATGCTCTAGTGAATGGTGGCCATTTTGTTTCCCGAACGCAGGCAGCGGTACATGGTCGTTGAACGCGTGGAACTATTTTTGGCTACGCGATCCTGTGAACCGTGAAAACTGTACCGATGTCCTTTCCGGTTAGGAGAATGCCTTTCAGGAGAAAAGAACTACCAACTAGGGGGCAATATTCGCTCCGTAAAAGCCAGGGGGAGCCTTCGTCGTTGTTCACGCAGGAACTCCCGAAAGTGGACAGAAGTTTATCCGAATGGTGATTCCATTCTGCCAAAGGGATCTGAGCACTATTTAGACAACTTGGGCACTCAGATAAGGGCTATTCGAGGTTATAAGACTTGGGGAGTTCCTGTGTAGTGTGACTGTATTTTCAGGGTGCTTTCTATATTTCACGCATGGTTCCTGTAACTGGGGGATAATTAAGTTACCGGTCTTTAACTCAATTATCTTCCAGACACAGGGACGCCTGGGAGGGGTTTGTGCTGTGTTAAATGGAGACTCCGTGCTGGGGGTCTGTGCATAAAAAGCAGAGTGTGGCTCAATAAACTTCAGTTGTACTCCCAGAACTGTGTCGTCCAGTTACTGGGGAGGGATAGAGCTATACACTTCACATAGCCTTGTTCCAGAGTTCCAGTTACTATGGATTCAGAGGACAAAAGTCCTTGTCAGGTCTAGAGCTTCACCACACCCCCCTCTAAACCTCACCTGCAAGTGAGAGACAGACCCCTCTAACCCTCGCTTGTAAGTGAGAGACATCCCTCGCTAACCCTTGACTGTAAGTAATAGACTGACTTGTATCTGTCCTTCCTGTAAGTGAGCTGGCTCATCTCTGTCTTGTTTGGAGGAAGGTCTGATCTAAGACACTATCCAAGTAAAACATCATTAATATAATTTCAATAGAAAAGGAATAAACATATAACTAAAACATGATGAGGTATTTTTTTTTCTTGTACTCTGTTACACATGGTCTTCTGAAATGGTTAACATATTAAAGAGGAGAGGGGAAACTCCCAGGGATACAGACACCATCGTTCATGATTACAGGGAGTGCAGAATTATTAGGCAAGTTGTATTTTTGAGGATTAATTTTATTATTGAACAACAACCATGTTCTCAATGAACCCAAAAAACTCATTAATATCAAAGCTGAATATTTTTGGAAGTAGTTTTTAGTTTGTTTTAGTTTTAGCTATGTTAGGGGGATATCTGTGTGTGCAGGTGACTATTACTGTGCATAATTGTTAGGCAACTTAACAAAAAACAAATATATACCCATTTCAATTATTTATTATTACCAGTGAAACCAATATAACATCTCAACATTCACAAATATACATTTCTGACATTCAAAAACAAAACAAAAACAAATCAGTGACCAATATAGCCACCTTTCTTTGCAAGGACACTCAAAAGCCTGCCATCCATGGATTCTGTCAGTGTTTTGATCTGTTCACCATCAACATTGCGTGCAGCAGCAACCACAGCCTCCCAGACACTGTTCAGAGAGGTGTACTGTTTTCCCTCCTTGTAAATCTCACATTTGATGATGGACCACAGGTTCTCAATGGGGTTCAGATCAGGTGAACAAGGAGGCCATGTCATTAGATTTTCTTCTTTTATACCCTTTCTTGCCAGCCACGCTGTGGAGTACTTGGACGCGTGTGATGGAGCATTGTCCTGCATGAAAATCATGTTTTTCTTGAAGGATGCAGACTTCTTCCTGTACCACTGCTTGAAGAAGGTGTCTTCCAGGAACTGGCAGTAGGACTGGGAGTTGAGCTTGACTCCATCCTCAACCCGAAAAGGCCCCACAAGCTCATCTTTGATGATACCAGCCCAAACCAGTACTCCACCTCCACCTTGCTGGCGTCTGAGTCGGACTGGAGCTCTCTGCCCTTTACCAATCCAGCCACGGGCCCATCCATCTGGCCCATCAAGACTCACTCTCATTTCATCAGTCCATAAAACCTTAGAAAAATCAGTCTTGAGATATTTCTTGGCCCAGTCTTGACATTTCAGCTTGTGTGTCTTGTTCAGTGGTGGTCGTCTTTCAGCCTTTCTTACCTTGGCCATGTCTCTGAGTATTGCACACCTTGTGCTTTTGGGCACTCCAGTGATGTTGCAGCTCTGAAATATGGCCAAACTGGTGGCAAGTGGCATCGTGGCAGCTGCACGCTTGACTTTTCTCAGTTCATGGGCAGTTATTTTGCGCCTTGGTTTTTCCACACGCTTCTTGCGACCCTGTTGACTATTTTGAATGAAACGCTTGATTGTTCGATGATCACGCTTCAGAAGCTTTGCAATTTTAAGAGTGCTGCATCCCTCTGCAAGATATCTCACTATTTTTGACTTTTCTGAGCCTGTCAAGTCCTTCTTTTGACCCATTTTGCCAAAGGAAAGGAAGTTGCCTAATAATTATGCACACCTGATATAGGGTGTTGATGTCATTAGACCACACCCCTTCTCATTACAGAGATGCACATCACCTAATATGCTTAATTGGTAGTAGGCTTTCAAGCCTATACAGCTTGGAGTAAGACAACATGCATAAAGAGGATGATGTGGTCAAAATACTAATTTGCCTAATAATTCTGCACTCCCTGTATTGTTTATATGTTTTCCTGTGCATGATCTCAACAGTAATTGTCTATTGCATTTAAATATTGTCCATGAATAAGATGCTGGACAGCCTCACAAAGATCCCAACACATACCCACCCACACATACCCCTACTATAAATATGAGATATAAACAGGCCCCTCTCCACCTTGCCTAATTATGAAATATGACCCCTATGGGTATCTTGCATGAATGCGAGGCACAGCCCTGTTTTCAACTAGCTGTTAGTGAGAAACAGCTCAATCTACACCTGTGTGAGTCAACCTCCTCTCCATTTTGCTTGTCTATAATATTCTTCTCTTTGCTTGCCAGAATGACAAACACATAGCTCTCAGTCTCTACTGTTCCTGTGAGAGACACCCATATTATCTAACAAGAAGAAGGAAACTCAAAAGGCTGGAAAGTGGGAGGGGAGGAAAAGACACTCCCGTATGCCACTGCCGAGCCTCCAGAGTATAGAGGTCACCTGGACTGGTAAAAGGGGGTAACCCTGGAAATTGTAGAAAAAAGGAAGAAAAAAAACCCAAAAAGGGATGTCTTATATAAAGACCGCCCAGAGGGTAAATACCCAGTCCAATCTCAACAGTAGTGTAGTTGCCAAAAAATAAAAAAGCCTTTATTGAAAATCTATTAAAAACCTGGGTAATCAGTGATGGACAGAATAATATAGGGAGAAATATGTATGGTAGGAACAAGGCTAATCAAGAGCCAACCCTCACAAGAAACGGAGAGGGAATAGAAGGCAATATGTACCCCCATACATAACTCAGGTAACAAAGCAGTAGGAAAGAACAGGGAAAGGGAGAAACACACACTCCCAACCAAACAGTAGTGCTATGCTAATACCCTATCTCCTATAAAACACCTTCATGGGTGTTCTAATCTAAATACTGTCATAACATCTGAAGCCCCAGGTTACACACACATACTAGAAAAACATAAATGAAAAGGTGCTCAGAGCAAAGTGCTCAAGAGAGTATTAAAAACACAGAAGAACCCGACGTACGTTTCGGCGTGACCACACGCCGTCCTCAGGGGTATCAGCAGTGAGCAAAAAACTGTCCGGGTGTTAAATTTATACCTTAAGCTCATAAGCTTTATTGTAATCACCTGTGATTGTGTCTAAATTGCTCCGGTCCTCCTGTGAATAGGGCTGTGGGGGTGTGGTGTAACACACCATAGTGTCAGCCCACATTTCTATGTCAGAGGTAGCCAGAACAGAAATCAGGTGAAAGGGAATTAACCCTTTGAGTGCCCCGCCCGGAACAGATATAAATGGATACTTACTATATCTAAAAGGCAGTATCCATAGCTTAACAATTAACCCTTGGAATGTCCAAATTGTATCATATAGGTCAAGTGTGTGGATTGATTCTTATGGCTGTATTGTGTAGCTTTAGTACAATTAAAGAAACAACTTATAACCGTTGTGAACCAGTAAGGGATAAGTACAATGGCTATATGGGCAGTCATACACAGAAGCCGACAATTCTTTTATTGCCACTGTAAATAGTAACCCATTAGTTTATGCAACACAAAACAGACCCCTAAACTCTTAGACCTATAATACACGTAAAATTAATGGACATATGAACACCAAATATAATAGAAATAAATAAAGAATATATACATATATACAGGCATAACTTAAGATACCATTTATTATCAGAATTATTGCAGTACTTTAAATAAACGGGGAATATGAAAACCCTTCATTTAGCCCCAGGGGAGATAGCGTTTTGAGATGGTAAATCCAAAACGCCTCTCTTTGTCTTAGTTTTAGGTCCCAGTTTCCTTTCCTAGGAGGCTGTGGTACATGTTCAAGACCCATGAACCGGATGCCTGCCGAGGAGTGATTGTGATGTAGATGTAAATGCCTTGAGACACTTGACCTATATGATACAATTTGGACATTCCAAGGATTAATTGTTAAGCTATGGATACTGCCTTTTAGATATAGTAAGTATCCATTTATATCTGTTCCGGGCGGGGCACTCAAAGGGTTAATTCCCTTTCACCTGATTTCTGTTCTGGCTACCTCTGACATAGAAATGTGGGCTGACACTATGGTGTGTTACACCACACCCCCACAGCCCCATTCACAGGAGGACCGGAGCAATTTAGACACAATCACAGGTGATTACAATAAAGCTTATGAGCTTAAGGTATAAATTTACCACCCGGACAGTTTTTTGCTCACTGCTGATACCCCTGAGGACGGCGTGTGGTCACGCCGAAACGTACGTCGGGTTCTTCTGTATTTTTAATACTCTCTTGAGCACTTTGCTCTGAGCACCTTTTCATTTATGTTTTTCTAGTATGTGTGTGTACCTAGGGCTTCAGATGTTATGACAGCATTTAGATTAGAACACCCACGAAGGTGTTTTATAGGAGATAGGGTATTAGCATAGCACTACTGTTTGGTTGGGAGTGTGTGTTTCTCCCTTTCCCTGTTCTTTCCTACTGCTTTGTTACCTGAGTTATGTATGGGGGTACATATTGCCTTCTATTCCCTCTCCGTTTCTTGTGAGGGTTGGCTCTTGATTAGCCTTGTTCCTACCATACATATTTCTCCCTATATTATTCTGTCCATCACTGATTACCCAGGTTTTTAATATATTTTCAATAAAGGCTTTTTTATTTTTTGGCAACTACACTACTGTTGAGATTGGACTGGGTATTTACCCTCTGGGCGGTCTTTATATAAGACATCCCTTCTTGGGTTTTTTTTCTTCCTTTTTTCTACCCATATTATCTACCTTACATGTTTGGTTCAACATTGACCTCCCACTTAGAAACTGCTTTTAGACTAGTATAGAACATTTTTTCAGATTCATACACGTAGTCTGTCTTATTGTACAAGGATTCATTTTAAGGCTGAGGAGACAATAAATGAGCTATGTCCTGCTACCATGCTAAGAATGTCCTGCCAACAAAGTGAGCTTCTCTTTCTTCTACTTCAATGAAGATTATCCTTGAGCCCACGATTCTGTTACGTATCCAACAATACCAGCTTCATATGGGAAAAAAAAAATATACGGAACATTATGATGAGGTACAATGGAGTTGGACTTCATGATAAACATATATGACCATGATGTTATGCTTTTACTTTTCAAAAACGAGAACAAAGTGTGAGGTTAAAACCACTGCTAGTAACATGCAGTAGTTGCAGTTTTTCATTCAATAATGAAACATATTTTGAAATAATGAAAACATTTTTAGCCAAGGACTCGCTCGAGCTGTGTTTATTTTAATTTTATTTTTTTTATTCAAAGCCTCATTATATTAACCAATAAAATATTTGTAAGCATGATTCAGTAACGTTGCCTTGATTAATTAGTTTCAAGCCTATTAGTGGTATGTACAGATGGTGACTGTGTTGCACGCTTCACCTCTCCCAAAATTACCGGGGGGCCTGAAATTAGAACTATTTACGTAAATTCAGAGCTTTGACTGTGCTGGATAAATCTGACAAGCACGTGTGTACATAGACGAACGCCATACATGGAGGCATGGTTGCTGACAGTTCCGAAGATGAAATTTAGTCTCTAGAATAACTACCTTTAATTTGAACAATTAATTTTAACTCACAATATATCCAACATATTTTCTTTTTTTTATTAAGGCTAATGAGCTTCCTACCCAGGTGTAGCGATGTAGAATGTGATAACACTGATTCTCACAAATCTGTTTACAAATTATTTTTTTAATTCATTCATTTTATTTAGTCAAATTCTACCTCTCTAGTGATTATTCGCTACACAGTGAATGCTAGTGAATTGAAAACTGAATCGCAAAATGTAGGCTAAAATAGAGAAAACCTGCTGAATTTGAAAATATTTTCTAAATTAGGAAATTTTGGCTTAGATTTTGCAATTCGTTTTTCATTCCATCACAGTTTGTAAATAAACTGGTCCTATATTCTGTATTAGTTCTTGGACCAATTTGTAGTTCAATGTAACAATTCTAGAACTGTAAGGCTTTGGGTTCCTCATCATTTACAATGTTAAAGTGACAATTCAAGGTGAATTTGAAGTGAATTTCAAAGTTAATGTCAAAAGATTCGAACTTGAAACATTTTCTAAGGCAGCTATGCTTCCAGTGAAACTACACTCGCCTTAAATTGGAAATTCACTTCGAATTTACTTTTAGGCAAATTCCTTGTCAGGCTCACGCTAAATACAAAACTAACTATACTTGTAAACATTCCCATTCATCTATATTTCTTACACTAACTGCATGTTACAAATGCTCTTTCTGTCTATATGCAGATATTCCAGACCCTGACTGAAACACTCCAACATAAGGGATACCATTTCGCGTTCCCAAATATTTATTTAAATCATTAACACACAACTGTAAAATTAGAATTGTGTAAAGTTACAGATTATTATTATTTTTTTTTAATTATCCTTTTTTTTTTTTAATTACCGGTAACTCAACGTAACTGGAATGTTTTTGATTTTTTTTTTTTATGGAAACAATTTGGCAGTGAACAGGTTAATCTCCGTAAGCATTTCTCACTATACGATAGTGACTTGAAAGATGTTTTATTATTATTTTTTCTTTATACTTTTTTTTTTTTTTTTTACATCTCACCATTAAACAGTTTTTAAATTGCTAATATCAATTTATGTCTGGCAAAAAAAAAACATGACTTCTTACTTCCTTGAAGTATAAATAGGCATCAGGCGTGCGTGACAGTCAGACACTTTAACGATAAACAATCATGCAGACAGTTTGTTTTATTGCTATTCATTTAGAATTGCAATTCAGCTTTCAAACAAAAAATAATATATTTTTTTTTTATTATGTATTATCTTGATTTCCTGCAGTAGTATTAATAATTTAATACTCCTTATTATACACATGCCCAGTTTCGGATAACGGTCCCCTTTATTTGATGGCAATCTGGGCTACATGTTCCTGTGTCCTGTGTACGACTACATAAAATTGACCATAAATTCAAATGCTAAGGGTTGCTTCCCTGTTGGAATGTTCTGCACTGTTACACCCCTCCTGGCATGGAAATAGTTAATACAGGGGAGGATAATCAATGACTATCCAAAATGGTTCATTATGAATGTCATATTGGCAGGCCAGTTAATCTGCCAGCTGTATCATTACAATTACAACCCCCTCCTCTATCATTTGCAGTATCCTTTCCTTCCTCTCCATCCTTCCTTCCGCAGCCTTCGAGATGCTGTGAAACAGGAATAAAATCTGAGAGAGGACGAGATCGATTGCTGGAGAGAGAGAGAGAGAGAAAAAGTGCTATTTCCTGCCACCGCTCAATCTGTCAACGTCATATCAATAGACACAAAAAGAAATGCAATGTCAGGCTGGGCTCTTACATAGTCCATGTCTCCTGCCAGTGTGCGTCCGTGTTTATCTTTGTCACTGAAACCGGTCACCTACAGTGGACGTTGGCAGTGTTGTGTCTGTACAACCTGCGTTGCAAACCTTGAATGTACATTACAGGAGGCTGATGTGAGCTGGGAATTAGTCCTGAGATAGGTAGATAAATAGACAGATAGACTCACCCACACATAGACGACTTTCCCTCGAATGGAACTCCGTTCTCGCTGCATTATTGATTAATGGTGAAATCCCACAGTGCAGCTTTACTTGCAAGTAGATTTTCTTTCAAATGTCACATAATTTGAAACATCTCAATGCCTCTCTGTCTCCTAGCAGAAAGTCATGGGGTGTTATTTGGGATATTGTCAAGCCTTTTTCCATCACTTAGTCTACAGGCCTTTAAGGGATGAAAAATGTGCTGTACCTGGAAATCTGTCAATTCTTTCATGGATTTATAGAAGTCATAAACAAGCCCTGCTTCTTTAAAACCTACAGTCAAAAGAAGGAAAAAGATGAAAGTGGTACATATGAAGAGATTACTGGTTGCAGAAAAGGATAAGGATTGCACAGGGGCCTAGGCAGGTTACAGATTTATTCTTCAAGTAGGTAGGGGAATGGAGACAAGAAAATTCATTTTTTTTAGAGCCCCCTATATGAACCGTGAGCCCTAGGCAGCTTTTGTCATATTCACTCCTGTTCCTTGCAGATCAAGCAGGAAAATAGTATATCAAAAAACGGAGACTTTAGTTTGGCAAAAATTGGATAAAATATACATGAACGTCTTTTTTTT